AAGGAGGAACAGGTTTATCTGCATCGAGATTCCCCCTTTTTCGTTCGTCTGTGGTCCTTTTAGTCCTACCGGCGTCTCTTGCTTCGAAGAGGACGTTCGGTATCCAAGGAACTCGCAGGGACGAACTGGTTTACCCTCACGGGTTCCCGGCTTTGTTATCCCACGCCCATCGATCCATGGTCATCGTGGGATGAACAGGTTTATCTTGGCAAGGCTCCCTTGGTTCGTCTAGCCCCCTCCGCGTCTCTACTAACCTCTACATCGAGAGGCGTTCGTCTTCGGCGGTGGGAGAAGATCTGGCACACCCGGGCAAGATTCCCTTCCACATAGGAGCTCACTTCCTCTTCTCCCCATCTTTTTTTTTGTTTTTGTTTGAGGGAGGCAATCTATATTCTTCGTTCGTCCTTGGTTCTTGGTCCTACCGGCGCTCTTGCTTCGAAGAGACGTTCGGTATCCGCGAAACTCGCAAGGAGGAACAGGTTTATCTACATCGAGATTCCCTAGCTCTTCTTTGTCCGTCCCTGGTCCGTGGTCCTACCGATCTTCCTACATCGAAGAAGACATTCGGTATCCAAGAAACTCGCAAGGATCACGGGATGTCACACATAATGGTGGTGGGATACCAAAACGAATAAAATGACGAGGCGATGGCAAAGCTGGTCGTCATGCGAAGGCGATGGTCACCCTCCTGGAGGGGAAGGGTGAGTCTGATCGCTAATTCAAGAAGGTCGGCATTGGGAGCCGATAATGATCATAATGTCGCTGAGCAGTCGGTCCTGATAAGGAGATGGCAATGGTGTCGAGATCAGGCCGATATATCCGAGCAACGGCTCTCATCCACGCAGCGCAGGGATGAAACCGGTCTTCCAAAGATAAATATGTCGTGCCGAGAGGCCGAACATAACATGATATAATAACATCGACAATGAGAGGCCGATCTGAGAAAACAAGCAACGGTCGTCATCCGCGAGGAGTGGGGATGAAACCGGTCTTCAAATATGGAAAGCACGCCGAGCCGGGAGGCCGGTCGTGACATAATGGTGTCGGCAATGATAGGCCGACCTGAAAGAACCAAGCAGCGGTCCTCGTCCGCGAGGTGTGGGGACGAGGCCGGTCTTCAAAAGATGAACACGCCGAGCCGAGGGGCCGGTCGTGGTATGATAATGTCGGCAATGAGATGCCGATTAAGATATGGTCAAGCAACGGTCCTCGTCCGCGAGGTGGCGGGGACGAGGCCGGTCTTCGAATATGATAATCGCGCCGGTCCGAGAGGCCGGTCGTGATATAATGATGTCGGCGATGAGAGGCCGGCCTGAAAGAAATCCAGCAACGGTCTTCGTCCGCGCAGCGCGGGGACGAGGCCGGTCTTCTAATATGATAATCACGCCGGTCCGAGAGGCCGGTCGTGATGTAATGATGTCGGCAATGATAGGCCGACCTGAAAGAACCAAGCAGCGGTCCTCATTCGCGCAGTGCGGGGACGAGGCCGGTCTCCAAATATGATGATCATGCCGTGCCGAGGGGCCGGTCATGATGTAATGATGGCGTCAGACGGCCCTCGGCCGTGACGATCTCTTCTAGGCCCTCGGCCTCTGAATGACGGGTGGTCGTATCACGGTTCTCTGTCATGGCATTCGCCTCTAGATCCTCGGCCTCTAGGTGTTCTTCCTAGGCCATCGGTCTCTGGGGTGGAGATGCTCGTCCCATGGTTCTCAACCGTGGTGGTCTCCTCTAGGCCCTCGTCCTCTAGGTGGAGATGCTCGACCATCGGCTCTCAGCCGTGATGGTATCCGCTTTAGCTGGCCCTGAACGTCTTCAAGACTCGGGCCGAGCGTCTTTTAATCATTTCGCTCGAGCGCGTCGAGTGGCTTCAGCTGCGCAATAAGCATGGTAACGGGCCGCACGGCCCGACAATATGTATACACACATAACCATCTGCATGGCTTTCTTTTTAACATCCCCGATTACCGGCCTATGGGTCATCGTGACCCTCGGCCTGGCTCATCGTGCGGGGTTAATGAACGTAGCAGCTCGCGGTGCGGCCAATTAGCAGCCCGCCGGACGTCACATAGAAATATTCATCGGTCTGTGAGTTTTCAAACTCAGACCCAAGTTGGTCGCACCGCCCTCGGAAACACGAGGCCGAGCACTTTGGTGCCCTCGGGGCCCCACAGGCCGCGTCTGGCACAGTCACTTCGCCTAGTGGCGCAGGTGGTACTAGGGTACGAATCGTCGCTCGAGCACTTGGTGCCGTGCGGACTAATGCGTAACCCCCAAATTAAAACGCGTCATCGGGGCACTACCCTCTGGAGACGCTCAGATCGCTAATCAAAGCCGATCGAGAGTGGGCTAATCGAACCCACCAACAATTAAATATTTAATAAAAAAGTTGGCTGAACTAATTATCATTAGAGCTTCGCTCTGCATTATTTAATTCGGGACATTTTACCCCTAATAAATAATAGGGATATAACGGCAATAGCAATGATGTCATCCTATCAAAGGCCATTCTGGTATGCTCCGCCCGCTAATTTAAGCCGATCAGCGGTCTCCGTCTGGTGCGGCTGGAATCACCGGAGGGTCCACCGCGGCGGGAAGGGTGACGACAGCTCCGGCGACCCCAGACCCAGATCTGGAGAAATCCAGACTTGACCTCCATGAATCTTCTTTCTAATTTTTTCTTCCTTTTCACGCTGGATCTCCTTCCTCCTTGCTTTCCAGAATTGTTTTTCTTTGTTGAAAATCCGTGCATTTCCGTGTCAGAATTTTCGTAGAAGAATCAAGAACACGCTAAACTTTTCGAACTGTTTCCCACAGACGGCGCCAGTGTTGAGTTTAATCCAACACGATATAGTAAATATATGTATGAACACTCAGTTTTTACGTGGAAACCCGAAAGGGAGAAAACCACGGGACTTTTTAGGCTAATGTCCAAGCCCTCTCTTTCTCATTAGGACTCTCCTCACCATTACATAGTACAATTTGAGCTCCCTTTAATGGAGTCTTCCAAGCTATTCTTGTAACACCGCTCCCAATTTAAACTTGGATTTATTAATCCATTGATATTAAAATCTGAGTGAAAGTACAAATACTGATTTCAACAAGGAAAATTAGTTAAAGTCATGATTATATATTCACTTTGAAAACTAGTTACAAGTATATTGATCATACTAGAAATGATTAATTGATTAAATTAATACCGATTTATTAAATTGTGAGTCGGACCCCAAACATGGGGAGGGACTAACTAATACATATTCTTGGGCCCCGGTAAATTGAACAAAAAGTCCAAGGATAAAGAAGTATGTGAAATATAATTGTTGGGCTGAATAAAAGGTAAATAAATAATATGAGAGATCATTCGAGCCCACTTACTAATAATAGAAATATAATTGGGTATGAGCCCGGATATTGGAGAGGACCATCCAATACATTTTAGGACCGACCTATTAAGGCCACTAGCCTAAAATAATATAAATAAATGGATAAAAGTCATTTGGGACGGACCGAGTAAACAAGTGGCATTCTTTCCCCCAACTTACCGAAAATAGCGAGTATGAGGGTGAAGAGCTTCCTACACTTTAATTCGGGGTATTCCGTATAAAGTGTAGACCATAATCAACGGGGGGATTAATTTATAAATCGCTTCGGGCCAGATTAATTAAAAGGAAACAGCCCGTGAACCGAACCCAAATAAAATCAGCCCACCCTTCTAAAAATAGAAGATAAGGGAAGGGAGCCCCTCATCCTTTCATTTGAGATGTTCTACGTAAGATTGAGAAAGGAGGGAGAGCTTGGAGAGTCTTCAACACACACAAGAGCTCAGGGGGAAAAGAGAGTGAAGGAGAGAAGAGAATCCAAGAGGAAACGAAGCCTAGCGGTAAGAATCTCGTAGCTTCGGTTCTTGTTCTTCCTTTTTATATAGTTTTCGTATATGATTTTATAGAAATCATATGATGGATTCTAGGGGATGTTCTACACGTTTAAAAGTGTGGAAATATGATATAAAGAGTTGGTAATTAACTTAGAAGAGTTGTTGAATCGATAGGAATCGAAATCGCCGGAAACCGCCACTTCTAGGTGCTGTTTTCGTGCAGCAGAACCCGAAAGCCGGGCAGCTTTTGCAAAAGCCGGGCGGCTTTTGTCCTCTGCCAGCCAAGGTGGATTCAGATCATTCCCGATCGAAGGTTTAACGACGGGGCTTCAATAGGCAACCTTGCTGGACATATTTAAGGTGAGGATGGCTGACTATATTGTCTATAACTCGTGAGTTGAGCATGAGATTACCTAAGTAATCAAATTATGATTTTGATGGAATTAAATGATATACTCCAATGTGAATAAATGTGTTGCTATGTGGTCATATAAATTGATACATGATATTACAAAGGTGAATAAGCAAAGGCATTATGCATGAGGGGAGAAATCCTTGAAATATATTAATTATTGAATTGATATAGAGGATTAGCATGATATAGACAAATGTTGATAAATGTGTGATTCCATAAGATCTTAAAAGGGATATATGGATACCTATGTGGATAGGCAAAATGATTAAATGTGAAGTAAGGAATACTTGAGTTATTGACATGATCAAAGTGATATGAATCCGTAGTGATTAATTGTATGTGCTATCTATAGTATTGAATTAGATAGGCATGAACTTAGAATGAGTGATGGACTATGGTCACACTCAAAGGAAATGGTGGAGTCTACCTAGACTATATGAAGGCAGCCCGGGGAGTCTTGATGAAGACTAGCCCGAGGTTGATAGATTATGATTGCTCGTGTACAATGAGTATACGGGGATATATATGTATACGGGGTGTGTAAGCCCTAACGAGATAAAGGATATTACGCGGGGTGTGTAAGCCCTACACGAATAAAGTATTACGCGGGGTGTGTAAGCCCTAATGAATAAAGTATTATACGGGGTGTGTAAGCCCTACATGATAAAGTATTACGCGGGGTGTGTAAGCCCTAAATGAGTAAAGTATTACGCGGGGTGTGTAAGCCCTAAATGAATAAAGTATTACGCGGGGTGTGTAAGCCCTAAATGAGTAAAGTATTACGCGGGGTGTGTAAGCCCTAAATGAGTAAAGTATTACGCGGGGTGTGTAAGCCCTAAATGAGTAAAGTATTACGCGGGGTGTGTAAGCCCTAAATGAGTAAAGTATTACGCGGGGTGTGTAAGCCCTAAATGAGTAAAGTATTATACGGGGTGTGTAAGCCCTACACAAACTAAGAATATACGGGGTGTGTAAGCCCTAAATGAATCAAAGATATAATGTTGGGGGTGGAAGCCCAAAATGAGTGAATACACCCGTAGGGTGGGTAAGTCCATCGTGGACGAGTACAAATGATAAGTTGTGTAACCCTCTCGATGGAGTTGGGTTTAGACTAGGGGTGGGATAACCTCTCGATATTGCTATATGCAAGAATAGGCCAAGGGCTGTACAAGGGGAATTGTTTTGAAATACAAATGGACCTACGGGTCGGCTATTTGACTTGGTATATATATTCTATACAAGTGATTTGAAATGGGGTAGCTGTAGGTTATGCCCATAATATAGTATCACCCTATTTTGAGGGTCTTATGTTTGAAACATGAATTATATTCAGTATAGTTGTCATTGTACTTGTCAAATGCTTCCAAGTACTGACCTCCCCTTCACGGGGGAGGCCACCTCACAGTTTCAGGTAGAAGCTAGAGCTTGCTTCCTGTTCCCGTTGCTTCGGGTGATCCATGGAGAGAAGACGTGGTTCGTGCTTCTTCCAGTTCTATTTTGATATAAATAAAATAATGCTCATGGACTATTTTTAAATTATAAATGATTTGGGAGCCTGCGTGCTCATGTTCGCCCTGTGTGGCCTTTGACTTTTTAAAAGTATTTGTATTCCGCTGCGTATATTTGAAATGCTTTATTTATGATTGTTTATGGATGTACTAGTGTGAATGGTATTCATGTACGCCTTGCATGGTTCGAGTAGGGTGAACTGCGGTTGCCTTAATCGGATTATGCGGCGGTTGTTAGCGCGTCCGGCCAGGCCGGGGCGTGACAATTAAATGGTATCAGAGCCCTTAGTCCATAAACTTCATAATGAAGTTCCTCAAAAGTGTTTTCCTCAAAATGATTTGTGAAACCATGAGCATAAAAGTTTTGTGTTGAAAGAGCCTTTGGTACTTGAGTTGCAAAGTCTCTAATTGTTAAGACGGGCCCCTTAACAATTGGTATGGCGGTGATTTGAGCCAAGTGGTGTCTTAAGTACTTATCTGTCAGTTGACATTGAAGCGAGTCTGATGACTCATTCCAAAAATTTCTTTCAGAAATGCGAGGTGGAGGCATGATGACTAGGAATGATCGGATAGGGCGTGCACCGGGAGAAACTGGGCATGTCAACCGGGGGAACTCTAGGGTATCTAGAGGAAAAGGGAGAGGCCGAGGAGGCCATGGGATCCAAATGAGGGATAACGCACAGTTTGAGACCGAGTATAGGTCTTGGGAGTCCGAAGAAGACTCAACGTATAAACCCGAAACAGAACCTTCTGAAACCTCATATGATGAGGGTGATGATTTTATTAGTGAGGAGGACAATGATGTCTCCTTGGATGGAATTAGTCAGGTATTTGAAAAATACCAACGTGAACGAGAACTAAGAAAGAAACAACGCCAAGAGAGGCGAGTTGGGCAAGTGGCTTCCAAGAGGGGAAGTCATGACGCGTGCTGGGCACATAGAGAGGGTACTAGAAATCCAAGTACCGAGAGTCCTTTTATAAGGGTCTCTAAATATCTTAAAGAGGCAAGGGCGCTCGGATGTAAACCGTTCGATGGAACGGGGGATATATCTGAGGCTGATGATTGGGTTAAGAGGCTTAATGAGGCAGCCAATGATATGCAATTGACGCCTAATCTAAAGATGAGAGTTGCCACTAGAATGTTGGAGGGATTGGCTTCAACATGGTGGGAGGGTGTCAAGGGGAAATACAACGGAGATGTCACGTGGGACAACTTTGAGCTTGAATTTTATAGACAATACTACTCTTCCTTTGAAGTAAATCAAAAGAGGAGGGAGTACACTACCATCAAACAAGGTGACGAGTACACCGTCAAACAATTGGAGCAAAAGTTTCGAGACTTGGCTAGATATCTTCCTGAATATGCAGGGAATGAGAACCGTATGGTCGACCACTTCTGGAACGCGTTGAATTTGGAAGTGCGTGAGAGGGCGGCGTACCAAAATAACATGACTTTTAATGAGGTGGTGACACGAGGCCTTATTGGGGAAGAATTATGGGAAGAAAGAAAGGCTAAAGATGCCGAGGAGGCTAGAAAGAGGATGTGGGAAATCAATGATTCCTATGATCAAAGCAAAAGACAAAATACCGGGGTGGAGAGAGGTTCTAAAATGCCTATGCCACTGTCAACGTACAATCAAGGGTCCGTGACCCAAGGAGTGAAATCCGTAAGTTCTAGGGTACGAAGATGTGATAATTGCGATAAGTACCACTACGGGACTTGTCGTGAACCAAAGAGGTGTTTCTTTTGTGGGGATACGGGACACATGAAGATCCATTGTCCTCAACGGGGAAGTAACACTACTTCGGGAGCTAATGAAGGAACCATGGGGGATATGAACCTAGCGGGGCCGTCTCAAGCGAGCACACGACATAGAGGGGATAATGTGAGCAACATACACTCCGGGAATCAAAGAAGAACTCAACGATGAGTTCACACGGGGAAGGAGGCAAATTCTTGCATGGACGCGACCACCGTACAGGTAATCCTTATCAAAAACTTGATTTCAATGAATATTTAAGTTATGGGGGTTCCAGGGGTCAATTTCCGGCCGAATACCGGCCGGTTTGGCAAGGAAAACGAAAAACATATTTTGAAATGGCAAAAACCGGGCGGCTTGGGTGAAACCCGGCCGGCTTTGGGATTAAATAAAGTGGAATTAAGCTACGGCGGCGAAACCCGGCCGGCTTTTGTAAAGACCGGCCGGCTTACGGGGTTTGTGAAGTTTTGTAAACACTCAAAACCGCACGGCTTTGGCAAAGCCCGGCCGGTTTTGAGGATGAATAAAAACGAATTAAGCTGCGGCAAGGAAAAACCGGCCGGCTTTTGACGAAGACCGGCCGGCTTTTGGATTGAATATGTTTAATTAAACTTCGGGGGATGAAAACCGGCCGGCTTTCACAGAAACCGGCCGGCTTTTGGATTAAATTTTGGGATTAAAGCTACGCTGCCAAACCCCGGCCGGCTTTCATGGAAACCGGCCGGCTTACGGGGAAACAAATCGGAGACCTGGAATTGGGTACGAGAACCGGCCGGCTTTCATGGAAACCGGCCGGCATTTGGGTAATTTTTGGTAAATTAGTCTCCAAGCTAGAAAACCGGGCAGTTTATGGAAAGGTCGGATGGTTTTCGTATATCTCGAGCCCGGTACATCTTTGGGCCTTGAAATGTACCATTACAGGGTAAGTGGGTCTTGCATTGATTTGTGGTGTAAGAACGCTAGAGTTGAGCGGGGAGAATGATAAAATCATCCTTAATGCGGAGGCGCATTGGGTGAGTGTGAGAGGGCACTTGTAAACCGAAACGATATGACGGCCGATACACACTATCACATAACGATAGTAGTGAATGAAGGAAATTGAAAGAAGGGTCTAATATCCTTGAGTATGATTGAATCTCATAGGTTAGATCTTTGAGAAGTAATATGGGAGAAGAAAAGTGCTAGAGTTGGCTATTACACGAGAGGTTGAAAGCTCGGGGAAAATAAGGGCAGGGCCCTATGCTCCGGAGTTTAAACGAATAAGTTGAGTAGTAAGAACATGCGTTACCCAAAGAGGGGGCAAGATTGATTATTACCGAGTAATAGGGTTCGATACAAATAACGACCGATGTGATGGTCACAACACCAAATTGATTCGCCGTATATGGTACTCGTTATTGTATGAGTATCAGAAACTTGTAAGAGGATAACCAGATTCTGAGAAACTAAATGGAAGTTCAGTGATTTTGTCCACCCACCTATGGGTGGGTAGCACGGGTATGTGAGGCGAACATTAGAGTCAAGGATGACTACTTATTTTCGAAATCCCACGAGAGTTGGGACGGATGTTTGACACGTGGAAATCTTTCCTGTAGCAATAGCTACTGTGCGAACATAAGGTCGTCTCCACAGGGAGCGTTGTATGTGAGACAGTTAGCGTAACTGGAAGATGATGAAATTCGGGTCATGCTCCGGGCACTCCTTAAGGGAGGATCCGAGGTGACTTAAGGCTCGTCTATGGGTTGTATCTTGATGGGGTATTGAAAGACGACATGAGTTGAGGGCTCGATTATCCTTGATCTACCCAACTAGTATGAGAATACTAGCCGGGAGGTAAATACAAATAATGGTAGGATTAATCCTAAGGATTCGGATAGTGAGATATTGAACCTTGAGTAGTCTCAAGAGATGCTAAGGTGGACATGTATGAACTCTAAGTTATACTAGGGGTAGGCCTTAAGGGATACCCAAGATAAGGTGAATAATAAATTGATCCTAGATATAGGATTGACCTTCGGGTGTTTTCGGTAGTCCTTGAGGATAGCCGGTTGAATTATGGTAATAAGCAAGGACCATGGCCCTTCCCGACTCTAGAGAGCGGGGTTGGATAGCATGGACTTGTAATGTAACTACGCATAAGGGTGGAATCCGAATCGGAGACCTAACGAGGCTCCGACAGCGGTAACACATAAGATAGGACCCCTGATGGGCCTTACCTTCCTACGGGACGATAGGTATGAGTCCAGGGGCGGGATGTTGGACTCCGGCCCGAGGACCCAAGGAGGCCTCGGATAGCGGTGACAAATCTCGTAAAGGATGATAAGACTTACGGGCGGTGTCGTGCTAACGATGAATGAAATGAAACATGAACACGGGCCAACGGGCCAACTACATAACGGTATGCGAGTAAGTAAGTTTTACAACGGGGTATGCTAAACCCATACTAGTTAAGGCCACTTGGGAATTCTAGAAAGAATTGACGCCCAAGTGGGGAAGGACTTGTTATTCTGTAGTTAGATGGAGTAGCATCTAAATGAAATAAACCAAAAGGGTACGTCAGTATGAATGAAAATGTCTAAAGACAACAATAATAAAATGGTTAAACTATGTTATAAAATGATCAAGTCAACGAAGAGACTTGAAAAAGTATGTACTCTAAAAATAGAGTGGCGTCAGTTGAAATGAAAATGCGACGTGAATTTCGGGGACAAAATTCCTGTTAAGGGGGGGGTGAACTTGTAACACCGCTCCCAATTTAAACTTGGATTTATTAATCCATTGATATTAAAATCTGAGTGAAAGTACAAATACTGATTTCAACAAGGAAAATTAGTTAAAGTCATGATTATATATTCACTTTGAAAACTAGTTACAAGTATATTGATCATACTAGAAATGATTAATTGATTAAATTAATACCGATTTATTAAATTGTGAGTCGGACCCCAAACATGGGGAGGGACTAACTAATACATATTCTTGGGCCTCGGTAAATTGAACAAAAAGTCCAAGGATAAAGAAGTATGTGAAATATAATTGTTGGGCTGAATAAAAGGTAAATAAATAATATGAGAGATCATTCGAGCCCACTTACTAATAATAGAAATATAATTGGGTATGAGCCCGGATATTGGAGAGGACCATCCAATACATTTTAGGACCGACCTATTAAGGCCACTAGCCTAAAATAATATAAATAAATGGATAAAAGTCATTTGGGACGGACCGAGTAAACAAGTGGCATTCTTTCCCCCAACTTACCGAAAATAGCGAGTATGAGGGTGAAGAGCTTCCTACACTTTAATTCGGGGTATTCCGTATAAAGTGTAGACCATAATCAACGGGGGGATTAATTTATAAATCGCTTCGGGCCAGATTAATTAAAAGGAAACAGCCCGTGAACCGAACCCAAATAAAATCAGCCCACCCTTCTAAAAATAGAAGATAAGGGAAGGGAGCCCCTCATCCTTTCATTTGAGATGTTCTACGTAAGATTGAGAAAGGAGGGAGAGCTTGGAGAGTCTTCAACACACACAAGAGCTCAGGGGGAAAAGAGAGTGAAGGAGAGAAGAGAATCCAAGAGGAAACGAAGCCTAGCGGTAAGAATCTCGTAGCTTCGGTTCTTGTTCTTCCTTTTTATATAGTTTTCGTATATGATTTTATAGAAATCATATGATGGATTCTAGGGGATGTTCTACACGTTTAAAAGTGTGGAAATATGATATAAAGAGTTGGTAATTAACTTAGAAGAGTTGTTGAATCGATAGGAATCGAAATCGCCGGAAACCGCCACTTCTAGGTGCTGTTTTCGTGCAGCAGAACCCGAAAGCCGGGCAGCTTTTGCAAAAGCCGGGCGGCTTTTGTCCTCTGCCAGCCAAGGTGGATTCAGATCATTCCCGATCGAAGGTTTAACGACGGGGCTTCAATAGGCAACCTTGCTGGACATATTTAAGGTGAGGATGGCTGACTATATTGTCTATAACTCGTGAGTTGAGCATGAGATTACCTAAGTAATCAAATTATGATTTTGATGGAATTAAATGATATACTCCAATGTGAATAAATGTGTTGCTATGTGGTCATATAAATTGATACATGATATTACAAAGGTGAATAAGCAAAGGCATTATGCATGAGGGGAGAAATCCTTGAAATATATTAATTATTGAATTGATATAGAGGATTAGCATGATATAGACAAATGTTGATAAATGTGTGATTCCATAAGATCTTAAAAGGGATATATGGATACCTATGTGGATAGGCAAAATGATTAAATGTGAAGTAAGGAATACTTGAGTTATTGACATGATCAAAGTGATATGAATCCGTAGTGATTAATTGTATGTGCTATCTATAGTATTGAATTAGATAGGCATGAACTTAGAATGAGTGATGGACTATGGTCACACTCAAAGGAAATGGTGGAGTCTACCTAGACTATATGAAGGCAGCCCGGGGAGTCTTGATGAAGACTAGCCCGAGGTTGATAGATTATGATTGCTCGTGTACAATGAGTATACGGGGATATATATGTATACGGGGTGTGTAAGCCCTAACGAGATAAAGGATATTACGCGGGGTGTGTAAGCCCTACACGAATAAAGTATTACGCGGGGTGTGTAAGCCCTAATGAATAAAGTATTATACGGGGTGTGTAAGCCCTACATGATAAAGTATTACGCGGGGTGTGTAAGCCCTAAATGAGTAAAGTATTACGCGGGGTGTGTAAGCCCTAAATGAGTAAAGTATTACGCGGGGTGTGTAAGCCCTAAATGAGTAAAGTATTACGCGGGGTGTGTAAGCCCTAAATGAGTAAAGTATTACGCGGGGTGTGTAAGCCCTAAATGAGTAAAGTATTACGCGGGGTGTGTAAGCCCTAAATGAGTAAAGTATTACGCGGGGTGTGTAAGCCCTAAATGAGTAAAGTATTATACGGGGTGTGTAAGCCCTACACAAACTAAGAATATACGGGGTGTGTAAGCCCTAAATGAATCAAAGATATAATGTTGGGGGTGGAAGCCCAAAATGAGTGAATACACCCGTAGGGTGGGTAAGTCCATCGTGGACGAGTACAAATGATAAGTTGTGTAACCCTCTCGATGGAGTTGGGTTTAGACTAGGGGTGGGATAACCTCTCGATATTGCTATATGCAAGAATAGGCCAAGGGCTGTACAAGGGGAATTGTTTTGAAATACAAATGGACCTACGGGTCGGCTATTTGACTTGGTATATATATTCTATACAAGTGATTTGAAATGGGGTAGCTGTAGGTTATGCCCATAATATAGTATCACCCTATTTTGAGGGTCTTATGTTTGAAACATGAATTATATTCATTATAGTTGTCATTGTACTTGTCAAATGCTTCCAAGTACTGACCTCCCCTTCACGGGGGAGGCCACCTCACAGTTTCAGGTAGAAGCTAGAGCTTGCTTCCTGTTCCCGTTGCTTCGGGTGATCCATGGAGAGAAGACGTGGTTCGTGCTTCTTCCAGTTCTATTTTGATATAAATAAAATAATGCTCATGGACTATTTTTAAATTATAAATGATTTGGGAGCCTGCGTGCTCATGTTCGCCCTGTGTGGCCTTTGACTTTTTAAAAGTATTTGTATTCCGCTGCGTATATTTGAAATGCTTTATTTATGATTGTTTATGGATGTACTAGTGTGAATGGTATTCATGTACGCCTTGCATGGTTCGAGTAGGGTGAACTGCGGTTGCCTTAATCGGATTATGCGGCGGTTGTTAGCGCGTCCGGCCAGGCCGGGGCGTGACAATTCTAGAGAGAGTAAATGAGTTGGGGAAGAAGGAAAGAGCTCCTTTTACATGGAGGGAAACCTCCTATTTATAGGGAATAGGGGGAAAGGGGGCTCTCCACCCTAACGGGCTGAATGGGCCAAAATGGGCCCAAAGGCCGAAACAGGCCTGATAGGCTAAAATGGGCCTTACTGATTGGGCTCCGTACTACGTAAAATCTTGGGCTCCTGAACAGTAATAGGCCGAGATAATATATCCCAACAAGTAACTTTAGTCAATACAGCCAAAAAAGTAATTCAAACCTTACTTTTTCTGCTTATAACACAATTCAGCGCGCGGAAGCAAAAGTTACATATTTGATGAAAAAGTTGTTTGATAAGATGTCCTCCATACTACATTTGCTAATTTGTGTGGAATATGAAAGGGAGATTCTATTAAGAGGAATAACTCAAAACAACCACATATTTTCTACAAAAATAGTTTGCCAAATTTCCTTTCTAAGACGTCCCAAAATGTGTAGTACTATCTTCGTCCCGTTGACATTGGGACAAGAAGAAGCGACAGTTATTAAAAAAGTGAGTTTATGTGATTGATATTGAATTGATAAAGCAAAAATAAAGTAAAAATGATTTAAAACCACACAAATTTTACCAAATTTGATATGAGCTTAGTGTAATTTTCCGAAAAGGAAAAACGAGACAATCTTAGCGGGTTGGAGGGACTATATACTATATACAGCCCCATGGTTTTCATAATAAACAAAATTAATTTATAATTATTATTATGCACTCATTACTTAACACAGATTCATCATATTGAGTCAGCCATGAATGCTTCCACACTGCATAATTCACACAATGTGGCGTACATTCTTCTTGCATGAAGATATGAACTAAAAAGAATTTAGAGTGGCCTCACCAAATCTTCTTCACAGACTCGAAGAGGAAGAAAAAGCCTTGGTAGAACTTCATCCACTACAAATTTGAACACCCTTTTCAGTTTCTAAATTTATTTATTAGCCTTTTTTCAAGCACTTCTTGGAGACCTGTGACGTTTTCATTAACCAAATCTGCGGATGAAACCTTAGTTGTCGCTCCAGTAAGGCGTGCGACTGACGAAACAAGCGATAAATGGGCGATCGAAGCAGAACGAGCGAGGCGCCCGGCGAGCAAAACGGGCAAATGAGGACAATGGCAACCTAGGTGAGAAAGCAAAGTCCACGAGTGAGGTAGACGACATCAAAGCCGGGTAGTTAGGCACTGCTAAGTGGTTGAAAGGGAGAGATCGTCTCAAAGATCTTTGGTATGAGTATGACTCAACTTCACAATGCTATGGAGGTTCTTTCCTAGACATTAATGCTCCTTGGTGTTTTGTCCCCATGGGTGTGGAAAGTTTCTTTGATGTCCCAGCTAGCTTCGACTGGTCGGGGATTCATGTCAGACTTCTTTTGGGTTGCATAAAGATGATAGAGGCATAAAGGTTGTTTTTTACTCCACCTATTTATACGTCTATCTAGAATGAAGTAAGAAGAATTATTTAGTATTCACTCGTATTGCATCAGCTCATCCTCCTCTTGAATCATCTCTATGTCAACAAAAGTTTTGTGGAAAAGTTTTATTCTATTTTTTTGTTGTAATACTTATTTTTATTTGAGTTCGAGTAGTTTTGATTTGGATATTTGGAGTACTTTTCATAGGTAGTGGTTCAGTTCTGATCGTTTTAGCGAGTCATGATGTTTTATGATCCGGTTGACTCTATGTTTATTCCTAAGACTTAAGATTAGATATGTAATAACTCCTTCAAGGTTGTCCGGTATGTTTTCTCGATAATAATATAAAAAATCGCTCATTTATATTATAACAAAAGCACTTCCTTCAAACAAATCAAACTCTTTCATTTGCAATCAAATCAAACTCATTTTCTTGGTTTATCTCTTATCAAACATATTTGGGTATTCAAGTCACTATGTATTTTTTTTTTTTTTTTTTTTTTTTTTTTTTTTTTTTTTTTTTTTTTTTTTTTTTTTTTTTTTTTTTTTTTGGCAAAAACACTTACCAGATTGTATTAGAAAAATAAAAATACAAATTGGGGGGGCTAGACCTGACCCAAAATAATTAAAAAAGGACATCAGTAAAACCGAGCAACACTGAAAAAATTCAAGTCACTATGTAAATATTGTAGTCTACCATGGCGGCAACTTGAATGAGTTTGATAAGAGATCGGGTGACACTTGCATAATCCATTTTGAGGCGTGCCATCGATGGCCGGCTTAGCTCTAATTGCCGCTCTTCTTGTGGCCAAAGACGCTCAAGTCAAAATGATCCACACCATTCCAAAGAACCTCAGATTCAAGTATTGACATTCATGTTATTTCCATGTTTATATTTATGCTTTTGATTAGTTTTGAGTGGTTATTACTCTAGAAATTACACACTTTTGGTGTAATAGTTTAGTTTGTAAAATGTTTGTAAATTGTTTAGATTAGATTTGTTCTGAGCTCAAACAGGTCCAAGACCACTCCAGGGACCATTGGTAAACATCACAAGTGGAAGGAAGGTGCAAAAATTCCAAAACAAAAATGGAGATCCTGATTTTTGGTGTTGTACCCGGTCGAGTATACCCTATACTCGATCGGGTAAGTTGCTAAAAAGTCAAATCAAATCAACCCGGGAACAAGGCAACATGCAGGAAGATTTTTAACTCGATCGCGTATCCATACCCGATCGGGTAACCGACATACCCGATCGGGTATGACCCCAGATTTTCAGTTTCGAGGAAACTAACCCTTACCCGATCGGTTGAGCTAAAAACTCGATCGGGTACACGACCCTGCAGGCCTAAAAAGCCTATAAATACACCCCTTTTCCTCCACAAGAAGATCACCAATTCCTATATACTTCTAAGCTCAGTTTAGACAAGTTCTTTCTTTATATTTTTATCATGTTTAGTCTCCAAATGAGGAGCTAAACTCTTCCATCTTGGTTTTGCTACTTTGAAGCTTAATGAATTGTAAGTTGTGAGTTATTTTCTTTAATCTTCTTCCTTGAATATTAATTAATTCCTATTCCTATTACATATTAATATTTTGAGCAATACTTAAAGGATCAACTAGTTTTGTTTCATATATTAATTAATACTAGAATCGGTCGATTAATACGCTTGTTATTAACTCGGTCCTTTCATGGTA